TCAAGTTTTTGACAGCATTTCCACAAAAACTCAGAAATCCTCAGTTACATTTCCCATATCACTGCAACTTGACCTCCTTTTCTTTGTTGTTGTTGACATATTTATTTAAAGAGCAGTATTTTATTTTTGCTTCTGTCTCTTCTTTTTTTTTTTTGGCATGCTTTAGCAGCCTTTCAGTTACAGCCTTCCAGTGTTCTCACGGCACTATTAATTCTACATTTAAAATAATGTTCGTCTGAATATTTTTTGTCGTATACATTAGAACTGCCTATGTATACTTTAAAAGTTCTATCCCAGCAAGAAGACTTTTGATGGTTTTTGATTACCTCAAAGAGATTGTCTTCTATTTTAGCTGCCCAAAACCTGTATTTACAGCTTTATTGAATAAAAATTGAAATTAAAAAAAATAAAAAGCCCAATGCAATTTTCCAGGTCTGTTTTCTTGTGAAAACAGCCTTGGCACATTAATCAATAATATAGCCAGTTTTCAGTTTACAGTTTCATGTAAACAAACATCTGGAACCTTTCTGAAGATTTTGCAGAGATCACACTCCTTTCTTCTCTTCTTTTAAACATACATAGAGTGAGCCATGTGTGTTTTGTCCCTACCTCAGTGAAGAAAGGACTCTAGATTATTTTGGTGAGAGGGAGAGTGAATAATATTCAGGTCATTCTCGAATATGGGAAATACTCTGAAAATTTATTTCAATAAAGTTAATGCTTTCTCAGCATTCTCCAGGAAAGGGAGAGCTCTTAGGTATGCAGAATCCTGCATGTCTATCTACCTCACATCACAGACTGGAACTCTGTGTACCCTGTCAGGGATGCAGGCAGCTGAGAAGGGACATATGAAAGAACTCAAAAAAATTTTGAAAACTGCTGTCAGACAGCAGACCAAAGGAACTCATTGAAAATTTAAATGCCTTTATGGAATCTTAGCACTTTCACAAACTGGTAAATGCTCACGAGGAGCCTTTTCATCTGACTTTTCTGATCATCTCCATTACTCGGCCTGGACTGGTTTAGACTTCAGCCACACAAGTCAGCAGGATTTCAGACCATCAGACAGGGTATCCCAACAGGGGGAATGTCGGCATAAAGGAATTGGTGATGCCACTGATATAAACTCTGAGCTCTGAACCACTTTTCTAATTTTTTGACAAGTCAGTGATACTGACATTTTCCACTGTGGTTACTTAGTGTTGGATAGCTATAACCAGACTTGGCAAACACCTGTACGTCACCTTACACTTAATCCTTCTGCCTTAGCTTCCCAAGGAAAATTGAGGATAATACAATTATTATCTTCATTGAGGAGCTGTAAATAATGTTTTCTAAAATCCTAGATGTAATTAAAGTGCACAGCAAACATTCCAGCTAAAGACAAATAAGGATGTATAAAACTTCTTCAATTTGATGTATGTATTCCTTTTTCTTACTTTCTGGTTTGATTTTTTTTTTCCAGTAATGATACCATGTCAGTTCAAGTAAGGAAGGGGAATCAGAAGAAACCAGTGTTTGAGAACCAAATGCAATATGATCTTAATAATTACTGCATTTTTTTTAAACTTCCACAGGATGTGCTTTTCTTCCTTCCTTTATCATTAATTTCATTGACTATATTTTGTCAGTTTACCCTTGGCTTCTATCATCTGAGAAATTGGTCTAATCTACATCAGATAGGGCTTTTTAAAAAATATTTATTACCAAAGCAAGTTAGAAATGGTGCAGTAATAGCCTTTGCAGAATTTTAGAGTACTTCATGTGATGGTGGCAGCTATGTGTTATATTCTTTGCCTGAGATTTTTTTCCCCTAAAAGAAGCATCTTCAATAGAAATTTCATCCTTGCCCTTTGCTGTTCCCATTTCTTTGCATAACTTTCAAAAGCAGTGATTCAGAATAACTTAAGAGCCCACAAGTATAAATGAATCTGCCACCCTTCCTCCCAACAGAGGGTTCTTTAAAATCATGACTGTTTTTCAATATGGGTCTCCATTGATTTAAGCACTTTTGAAAATCAGGCCTTTTAGTTACATGTTTACGTGTCACTTGAGGAAACAAATTTTGTAATCCCAGTAGGAAAAGCTTGTCCTTAACTTTTCTCAAAAAAACAAGCTAGATTGTTATGCAAACACATGTTGCATGAACATCTTTTAGCTGAGTATATTCCTTGGCTTTTCCACAAGAACTGATGATCCAGAATGGTTTGAATCTCTGGTGGGCTAAGTACGATGACTGGTGCTGTTCTTGACAGAATATGAGTTATAAAAAGCCTGTGACTGTGACGCCTGCTGGATGAATTTTGATTAGAGAGCCCATTTGAAACTGTGCTTTGTGCTTCTGAATTGTTTGTTTCATAAGCATATACTCCTTCAAAGCAATAGCTACAATATCTGTTGTATAAAAAAAAAAGGATGATGTATTTTTTGTTTTTGTAGAGGTTGATTTTGAACCCTCAAGTTTAAATTTTTAATTTAGAGGAGTCTTTATTTTAGCACTATGTAAAGTAACAAGGAAGAAACAAACACAAGATTCAGGCTGCTAACACAAATAGTAACAGGAGTAATTCAAGATTTATTACATTTCTTTTGTATTTAAAGACTTGTTTTCTTGAAGGTAAGGTATGAATAGAAACTTCTTAACTATGCAGAATTTGGAAAATAAGAGGCAAAAATATAAAAAACTGCCATTTCCTCCTTAGTTTACTTTTTCTTAACACAAACCAACAGGGGGAATCGATAGACTGTTCTAATAGCATAAGTTGTGGTCAATATGTTTTTTTTCTCCTTTCTGTCTTCTCTGCTCATTTCTGATGGAAAAATAGATCCAGAAGAGTTTAGAAATCATGTAACAGAATGTGGGATTTTTAAAAAAAATTAAATCTTGGAATGCAAGGCAAGCTTGAAGATTCCATGTCCTATAGTTTATTCTATGCAAATATTAAAATCATTCCTCTGTGTCAAATAATAAATCACATACAAATAACTGGCAACAACAGAGTCAGGTTATAAGAGGACCATGTTTCCAAGCATTTGGTGCAGGTAAAGATTTGCCATGTGACTATTTTTGCCTGTAGTAGGGTTCTTTCAAGTTATACAAGTATATTTGAATTTAGCCTTGATACTGTACTGTTGGAATACTTGATTGTCAGTCGTATTTTTGTAACACCAGTGCTTCTCATGGAATTATAATTAATATTTTGTATTACCATCACAGTACAGGCCAAATTCCACAATTAGTCCCTGCAGCTCCATTTTACCTCCTGAAGAGCAGTTCTCTTGTCACTCTCCCATTTCATTTTGGTCTGTGCCAGGTAACCATTTGGAGATAATAATATTTTTTGTTTCTGGAGACTCTCCCACAGGCAGCATGAAGTCTCTAGTCGTCTGAAATGTACTTGTGGCTTTTGTAGGATCCTTCAGCCATACTTGTACTTTATCCTTGTTGAATAGCAAGAGCAGTGCAGACTCAGCACCTTTTCTGTCCACTGACTTAAAATTTGTTTGTTAGATGTTTGGAGTAGAAATCTACTCAGCTTGTGTAAGGATGCTTCATAAGGAATTCCAGAAGTCTCTAACATACAAATAAACATATCTCAGGACATGCAGAGGAATTTTAGGAGTCAGTCTTTATTTATTTCCTTAAAAAGCAGACATAATCCTGGGAAAAATACTCTTTTTGGTAGGAAGGTCTTTTTGAAGTCCCATATTCTAGCATTTGGCTGAAAAAAGAAGTTTCCTTATAGATGAGAATATTCCTCGCCCATGCTGCACAAATTGTCTGAAATCACTGTATCTTTGCAGCTACATCCCTTTGAAAATGCTCTGCTCCCCATTCAGCTGCTCATGGAGCAGTCCTGGCCTTTTCTTGGTGGCTGGTAGAGACTCTGCTGTCATGAGTGAGCACCACTGGTTTCTCCCAGTAAGAAGCAGGGATTATACTGTTGGCCTCGATATAATTAGAAGTAAAATTTTCTTCTATCATGTATTTGTTAAAAGGCAGCTTTCAGGAAAACAGAAACTATTAGCTACCCACATTTAATAATTATTAACTATGGAAATATAATCATAATATAACTTCAGGATCACTTAAACAACAGGAAGTTGCATTATTTTTGGGCATGGGAAATTTTGCCATGAGTTAAATTGCACCTAGTTATATTCAAATTTTTATTTTCCAATCAGCAGCTGGCTTTAAGGCAGAGAGTTCCTTGTGCTGACTGTCTAGAATGCAGACTGTGGTTGGCAACTGCTGTTAAGAAATTTCCTTTCCATACTACCCCTCTTAGTGAATATCATTCTATTTTGAGCCTAATTGAAAACTGAAGACAGAAAACTAAGCAGTTATTTTTCCCTGCAGTACAATATCTAATATTCTGATTTCATGGCTGTCTGACTGCAATGATGGGGAAGGACATTTTCTCAAAGTGTTCACAGTACCACAGTAATGTATCAGGAGCATTGCATATCAAGGAAAGGAACTGTTATGTTAAAATATGTGCCACTTAAAAACACACCCAACGGAAAAGTAGGATGCTGTTCGGTTACATTAGGTACAGTCAATAATTGCCTTTTCTAGTCTGTTTCTTTGAAAAAGCTATTAAGAATGTAGAAAACAGTCTTCAACTAAAAAGGCTTTACTAGGAGAAATCTGCAATAACAGAGGTAACACCTCTGCAACAGAGGAATTTTGTGTTCAGAACTCTCCTTCCACGATTCTCTGGTTATTTTTGCTGGTAGAGAAAGGGGATATATGTGTGTAGCTGCTGGTGATTGTATAGCTGAACAAACTTAAACAAACTACTCTGTGGGACAAATGCTTGTTTGTTAACCTCTGTGTTAAGTGGGAGAGAAACCCCAGTATTTACAACAGGACATTGGTGAGGGGTAGTAAACAAGGAGAGACACCTGTTCAAAATGTCCCATAATCTTGCATAGAGAGTTATAAAAAGTACTACAAATTTAAAATGTTTGCTTGTCTTTTTTTCTTTTTATATCAGATAGTATTACTGAAGTCTTCACTAACATCTATGTGACCAGTTTTGGACCTGTGTCAGATACTGATATGGTGAGTTCCTGAATCTTTTGCATATACGGGTAGATGGTGTAAGATATATATAAACTTCCTTTAAACCTGTATTGTTTTACTTATTGTGGATGAATTTGAAACAATTTCACTGAAATCAGAACATTCCAAACCCCATGTAGTTTGAAATTTGGAAATTGTTTAATGGACTTTACATGATAAATGTGCTTATGTTAGCTGTTTAGTTTAGACCAGTAAATCTTCTGATTTTCCCACTGACTATACTTTGCTTCATGTTCTGGAGTAATCTTGAGATGGATGAACTGGGTTCCTCCCACATGAAAGTCTGGAGTGAAAGGAGCACTCTTAATATTGGCAATAGACTGAGGGACCTGATGAGAGACAAATCTAAATTAAACTTCTTGAAAGACAAGTTGGAAGCTGGGTCATCAACTTGATTGTGGGGTTTTACAGGTCTGTCCTTGATAATTTGTATTGTTTAGTAGGCATTTAAAGGGGTCAGTGACATTATAAAAGAAAGAAACTTTCAGAATATTGCTCTGGATTATAAGGAATTGTTTGTAGAAATTGTCTGGTTAGAAAGATCTGATGGATATAGTTCTCTAAAAGGAAAGGGAAGAACAATCTCAAACTTACTTTACCTGTTGTGCTCCTGTTCACTTGCCTGGTTTAATTGACTGGGGAATGTGTAGGAGAGAACAAAATTCTCAGAAGAGTCAACAAGAAAATTTTACTTGCAAAATGTAGAATGTTAAGATAGAGTAAGATACATGACATATGTTAAAATAACATCCAGGTAAAGTAAGTACTTCACAAACTTTAATTTAGCAAACTTAAACTTAGCCAACCTTAACAAATCCAGACACAAGGCACTTACTAGGGCATTGACAGGAATTTTTTAGTCTGGCTGACAATGCACTTTGAGAAAAAAGGGAGAAAGAAAGAGTAGGAAAGGATAAGAGCAGAATGATACCACCATCCGTGGATTTAGTAACAAGACTCAATTGTTGCAATTTTGATGTCCTTTGGTCTAATTGGTATCTTGATCCATAGGGAGTGGGGGAAACCCACAAAACACAAATTCCAGAGGGTTGATATATGTTTAGCTTTAGATGGAATTTCCAGGCACCTTCCCTGGGCTGGGGAGTTTTATGCTGTCTTTTGCAGCACCTTGGATCTGTTGCAATGCTGTGGATCCTGTGCAGTCCTCTGGTGGAAGACCCCAGAAATTATTCTGGGAGTATTTTGGGGGTCTTTGATGGTTTATGACACCTTCTAAGACACGACAACTGCCTCTCAGTGCAGTTGAACCCCTTATGCCCCATCAGAAGGGAAGAACATCTTCAGGCCTGTGCGTGAATGTCCCAGTATGTCCCCCAGGTGGGGAGGAGTTTTACAGCTGAGCCACTTGTGTAAGGAAGGACATCAGCACGATAAAAAGTATTAATCCACCTCACAGGATCTGCTTCTTTTTGGCTTCTTTCCTCATCTGTCTCAAACCCCAGCTTTTTGCTAAGCAAAGGCCGCTTTGTCACGTCATCCCCTGGTGCTCACACCCTCTGCACCTGGGCTGTTACTGTGCTCATCCTCAGCAAAGCACCTGCTGCTTTTGCAAATGGCTGATTCTTTGAGCCATTAGCCATTAACATCTCAGTCTCTCCACCACCCTTGCCAATCCTGCAAGAAATTATTTTTGAAGTGTTTCAAATATTCTTTATTATGTATGAGACGTATTAAATACTGCCTTGGTGTATCTGTAGGTATTAAAAATTAATATTTTTTTTAAAAAAATCAGACATTTCTTTTTCTATGAAAAAAATCAGGTTATGCATCATACAAAACAGGGAACATTATGATGTTGTGAACAAGTGTATGAAGCTAAATTTTTCACGGTACATTGAACATTTAAAAAGTTGTTTGCTTACTGACTACCATGTAATCAGAGCTTTGGAAAATATATTCTGGTGGGGTTTTGTGGGTTTTTTTGTGTGGGATAGTTTCAGTTTTCAAGCTCTGTTTTGAAAGTTATGAATACACGAGTAAGTCTTCACAGGAAAGGCCATGAAAGTCCATTTCACAAGAGAAATAGACTTTTGTTTTTGTTACTGTACATGTTGCTGATTCTCCTGAAGGTGCTTTTTTCTAATGATTTTAGGTTTATGAAATCATTCTTAATTTGTTAATAATTTTGTAAAAAAAGTATCCACAGCTGTATACAAAGATAATATGAACATCTTGACCTTGTTGGTCTAGTATCTGATGACTTTAGAGTGGAGAAGTCTTGCATTTATGGTAGTCCTGTGTAACAGGGAGATGATATTAATCACCTTTTAAAGATGAGTACTGAGGCACAAGGAGGCTTACCCAAGGATGTGCAAGTCATCTGTGCTTAAATGGAAAAATAATGAAAAGCTCCCAGAGCCTATTCCCTCCCTCCCAACACACTTCTGACATCAGTGGATAAATGTATGGAGAACTCTGCGTGTCTGCTTGCATAGACATACAGACAGTGCACAGATCTATGCAGAGGTGTTAATCAAAGCAGAGTGCAGTGCATCAGAATGCCAGCTGTTACTCTAATGGGTAGGTTTGTTTGCAGATAAGTAGATAGATAAGTAAGAGCAGTTTAATTCTTATTACTACAAGCTTCAGGGTTAATTTAGCTTGTTCTGTTGATAATTATAAAATAATTTTGAAACGTATGAGCAGTCAATGAGAAAATTCCAACATGTGAGTTTTGAAATAATAGCTTCCAAACCATCGCATATTCTGTCGAACATGAAGGTGACATTAGAGTTTTAACCATGAGTACTTTTTCATTTAGGAGCTGCATGACTGAATCAATAATTTAAACTAGTATACAGAGGATTCATTGATATTTTCTTCTGTAAATGTGGGAAACTCTGGGATATTATATTTTTTTAATTTCTTCCTTAAAAGGCTTTATTGGAAGAATAATTTTGACTCTTGCCCATGTCTTCTAGAATTTTTAGAGGATCCCAAGCTCAGATTTTTTCAGGAAGGTTGAGTCCCATCTCCTGAACTCCACTGCTGGTACAATGTAAATGGTGAGGTCCTCAGTCACATGAGGTATTTAGGCTGAACACTGCTGTTGCCCAAAACTCTTCTGATTATTGCTGCACTTGGATTCCTTCCACTGGGGTTTCTTATAGTGATAAAATCATCAGGTGTGTGACTGCACCCCTTTGCATGATCAATTTTGCAGTTTGTTTTTTCCTCCTTGGTTAGTATATTGTGAAGCATAATGGTACTTAGAAGAAGAAGGGTGCTTTTGAAAACAGGAGGGAGACTCACTGACATGGGGGTTGTTTAATATGTGTTTACAATATGGAAGAAGGAAGTGGCACACAGGCAGTGATGGGTGGATTGGAGCTAAGAACACAGCTCTCACATAGTGTTGATACAGAAAGTTAATAAAATTTAATTCTAACCTTTGTTGTTGAATTACTATGAATTTGTGAGGTTTCTGTTTTCCTCACTAGCTGTTCCCATTAATGGTAATATGGTATGATGTTCAATCTGTTACTCAGTCCTTGTTCATTCTGGGTTTTCATTCATATTTGCTGTATTTTTCCAGTATCCAGTATTTTTGCCAAAAAAATATCATTATTTCCAGGGGAATTTGATTGATTTTAAGCCAGCTGAAGTTGCTCTTGATAAATTCAGGAAGTGGAAGCTGAGGCTGAGATTTTTCTCCAAATGTGTTAAGAGTGAAAAACATTTGGTCCTTATAGTGGATTAACATTTTGACTAAGTTCAAAAGATGCTACTCTCTGTTCTGACCAGAATAGTCAGCTACCAAATGTGTTCTCTCTTGGCCAGGAGTCAGTTGCAAACTGTGCTTCAAATGAACAAAAATATTTAGGTATCTATATCATTTGTGTCAAAGAAAAGCTATTGTATGTCAACCACTCTATTTAATGTCAACTATGCAGTGCCAATGTATAAGGATTTTCAACTTCCTTTTGCAAACTAGTAAGAATCAAGGACAGCAAAGAAAAACATGGATTTAAACTGATTTTACTTGCACTCTTCTGTCTTTTTGAGCTGTTCTTTCTCAGAAATGTTCAAGTTCAGTATTGTGATGCTATGCCTTATAGGCTTCCAACCCAATCAGTGATAAAAATTGATTTTGACATTAGCCCGAGAGAAGAAAAGCTGCATTATTTAGAAAAACAAACAAATGAAAAATTGGACAGAACAACTGAAAAACAAAGCATCTCTTAATTTTCTGAAGAGTTATAGGACTAAATTATTGTTACAGAGGCTAATTAAAGCATTTATCATGAAATTAAAATGTTTAATTTTGAAAATTCAGAGGTAAGGGATGAACTTGGTTGGACTATAATTTGTAGGATAATTTGACTGATTTTAAGCCAGCTGAAGTTGCTGTTGATAAATTCAGGAAGTGGAAGCTGAGGCTGAGATTTTTCTCCAAATGTGTTAAGAGTCAAAAACATTTGGTCCTTATAGTGGATTAACATTTTGACTAAGTTCAAAAGATGCTACTCTCTGTTCTGACCAGAATAGTCAGCTACCAAATGTGTTCTCTCTTGGCCAGGAGTCAGTTGCAAACTGTGCTTCAAATGAACAAAAATATTTAGGTATCTATATCATTTGTGTCAAAGAAAAGCTATTGTATGTCAACCACTCTATTTAATGTCAACTATGCAGTGCCAATGTATAAGGATTTTCAACTTCCTTTTGCAAACTAGTAAGAATCAAGGACAGCAAAGAAAAACATGGATTTAAACTGATTTTACTTGCACTCTTCTGTCTTTTTGAGCTGTTCTTTCTCAGAAATGTTCAAGTTCAGTATTGTGATGCTATGCCTTATAGGCTTCCAACCCAATCAGTGATAAAAATTGATTTTGACATTAGCCCGAGAGAAGAAAAGCTGCATTATTTAGAAAAACAAACAAATGAAAAATTGGACAGAACAACTGAAAAACAAAGCATCTCTTAATTTTCTGAAGAGTTATAGGACTAAATTATTGTTA